TGTTTTTGTTGCAGAAATTAGGTATTTATAATAAACAAAATACAGAACATTTTTAAAGGAATAGTTTAATTTTAAAAAGGTTTAAATGATATTTGTAGAAATTCCTGCTTGCTTTTGTTGTTCAGTTTAGTCCTTATTTTCATCTGCTACTCTTGAGCAGCCTTGCTGATAATATCTGTTCTGTGTTATCTTTCAAGGCTAAAACTGGTAATGGATGGAGAAAGTATTCTGAACTGAAATTGTGTGGGTGACTTGCTAGTGATCATCTGCTGCAGGATGACTTTTAGTAGTTCAGAATAACTGAACTATTTTCTGTGTAACAGGAAAAACAAGCCCAGTGGTCCAAGTCATGGAGGAGAGCCCTGTGTGGCTTCAAATTCTTAGCAAAGAAGTGTTTCCTGCCACCTTTTGATACTTGCCACTCCTTTTGAAGCCCTTTTAGGTTTTGTGAAAATCTCATTGACTCTGTCTTCTAGCATGAGCATCTGTCATCTGAAGTGTGACAAGAATACTGTCTTTCGGCCAGGACCTTTTAAACTACATAAACAGATGCAGTAAATTTATTTGGACTATCTTCAGAGTAATTAAGTTCATCATCAAAGGGATATTTAAATTCTAAAATACAGGACTGTTAGTGACCTCCTATATCCTGCTGTGACAGAACTAGTTCAACTAAGTCATGCCTGATAAATGTATGCAAGACGTGCTTGTAAAGGAGCCTTCAGCAATCTGTTCCAGTGATACGCTAGTGTTATAGAAAGTTTTCCTTGTACCCGTCTTGAATTTTCCTGTACAGTTATCTGACTGTTACTGCTCAGCCATGGTAGTTCAGACAAGACAATTATTACATTTTTCTTTACAGCTACCTTTTACATATTTGAAGATGTTTGTTTCCGTGTATCAGCTGGTTTTTCTTTAGACTTAAGTCAGGCTTGTTCTTTCAGTTTCTATGAACAAATTGCTTTTATTTTTTCCCTCCTAGACTTCTTATTATTCAGATTTGCTTATCTTCCTAACAGGCTTATATCTGTCTTTAACTGCATCGTTTGAACTGGATGAAGCAATCTGCTGATGAATGGCCTGGCTGCTCGCTGCCCTGCTAGTGGCACAGTGGGCTGTGCTGCACAGAAAGGCAGCGTCATGCCACTGGCTCATGCTCAGCTTGTGACTCACTGATAGTTTCTGTCTAACTGCTTTTTTCTGTCCTGTGTTTGTGTAGTTGATGAATTCTGTCTAGATGTAGACCATTAGTCCTTCATTTAGGAAAAAAAGTCTTTTTTTTTTTTTTTGGATCAATTCTCCAATTTGTCTGGATCTTTTAAAATTCTTTGGCAGCGTCTTTGTTAGATTTTCTCAGCTTAGTGTTAACTACCAGTTTAATAATGATTCTGTAACTCAACTTGTTGGCTAAAGTATTGAGCATCAGTGGACCTGGGACAGAACTCATAAATTCTGTTTTATACGCCTTTTAATTTTTGGCAGCTAGATCCTTTAACTATTCCAGGTATGATTTATTTTCTTTCCAGCTGCTTTTGTACCTTCAAGGAAGTTTCGTGGTATGTTGTGCAATAAAAACATTACTTAAATTGAGATATGAAAATGATTGCTGTTTATTCATTCCAAGCTTATGTAACAGCTGTTATTTAACGGTGTTCTTAAAATAATTACGTTAATCAACAATTGTGTATGTAAATCAGAGCATTGTATAAGCATTGAGGACTGCTGGGGTATGCTTGTTTACAGGTTTTTATATTAACATCTGTGTGGTTTTAGGTGGGTATTGGGAAAAACTTATTCACTGAAAGAGTTTTTAGGCACTGGACCAGGCTGCCCAGGGAAGTGGTGGAGTCACCGTCCCTGGAGGTATTTCAAAGATGTGTAGATGAGGTGCTTAGGGACATGGTTTAGTGGTGGGTTTGTCAGTGTTAAGTTAATGATTGGACTCTATGATCTTAAAGGTCTTTTCCAACTGAACCAATTCTGTGATTTGATGAGAATCTATATAGTGGATGTATGTGGGTATATGGGCATATAAAGTGGTGTCCTTCACTGCCAATAGGGCTGAGGAAGTTTGTAATAAATAAGTTGTTTATTCTGAAAGTTCATGCCTCGGGCGATTATTCACCATGTAAATGTTGCATTGATGTGAAAGATATCCCATAGATATTTGAAAACTTCTGTCTTGAAAATAATTGTTCTTGGTTGGCTTCTTGCATCGCTTTGTGGTATTTTCATCTCAGCCATACATCCTGTGTCCTGTCTCTTGTATGCCCCTGCCTCATTTTCGGGACATCAGGAGGGAAGGTAATAAACACCTTTCAGAAATAGAGAAAAGTTTTATTGCTTACAAGTCAATTAAAGGTGTAGTCACGAAAGTGACATCAACAGTTTGTGCAACACAGGCAATCAGTTATTAGTAGCCAGAGAATGGTGTGGTGGTTTTTGGTTTCCGTTTTTTAATTTTTTTTTTTTTTTTTTTTTTTTTAAATTTACTTAGGTCTTCGTTCTTTAAGACCTAAATTTATGGTCATCAGTGATCTTCCTCCAGAAAACTGAGATCTGGGAAGCAGTTATTTGAAAAGACCAGCTAGGTGTGCAGGAGCATATGGGTCAGTAAAGTCAGTTGGAAGGGTATAATGAGAACAGGAAAAGCAAGAGGAGGTAAAGGCCTGGTATGGATGTAGTCTTGCTAATTCTTTAATTGCTTTTAATTCCTTACCCTCTGGAAGGAAGTTGGAAACATACTAAAGCTGAAATGCAACAAGAAAACTATATAAACAATCAAATAGCAGCATATTTTGGGCATTATGTTGTAGGAAGGGTTGGAACTTGTTAGATCCAATGCCCTAAGGTCTTTTCCGCCTTATGTTGACGCTCCTCAGTGGGGAGGGTGAACTATATTCAGGTGTCCTCGGGTAGTGTCACCTCCCTTGTAAGTGAGGGGCTGTGCTATCTAGGGACAAAGTCACTGAGCAAAAATGCACTACAGGAGATGTGGCTTGTTGCTTTCTCTGTGAACCTGGACTGTAAAAGCAGTGGTCTTTTTCTGTAGCAATTTGGTTCATGTGAATGTGTTGCAGGATCAGGACTTTTGTAGGCAGTGCTTTTATCTGGAAGATGTAGCCTGGAAATCTGATGTAGTAGCCACATTTTCAAGAGAACTCTAGAAACAACTTTCTTTATCCTATAAGGGAATATACATAGGTATATATAAATATATAAAACTGTATTAAAAAACAAACAAACAAACTACATATTGTATAAAATTGGAAACAAGAAATGCAATATATAAAGTGGAATCAAAATAAATATGTACTAGAATTCCAGGAAAAACGTGAAGTAAATAAAGGATACCTACCCCTCCTTGTTCCTTCCTTTGAACTACCAGAATCAAAAAATGAATGGAAATAAACTGTAACAGTAGGCAGGACACTGAATCAGTCAGTATTTTATTGAATAATGTCCTTAGTTGTTGTTTGCCAGCTTTTCTCTATTTTGAGTTTGAAGAGTAATTTTAGAAATATTGAGAGTTGGTGAGTGTTCTCTGCATCTCACAGACAAAGCTCATGTTAGACCATAACTTATGGTTATACATTGACATGGGCAATCAGATATTTCCTAAATAATCAGTTACTGAAACTCTGAAATGGACAAAAGGCTAAAATATTTTCAACCAAATAAAAAAAAAAATGGCATAGAAATACTGTTGTTCAAATTGGTCAAGAAAACCTAAGTCCATGCAATTGCGCACGTGTGCTGAGGAGAAGACTTTTTTTGGTTTCTCAAGCATGAGGCAGCAGAATTCTCGTTCATTTGGCATGCTAGGCTGAAAACCGTCTTCTTTCATTTGACACCCTCCCCTGGAAACAAACATGCCAGTGGCAGGATTGTGCCAGTTATGGGAAGCTCACAGGAATACATTGTGCTGGTTTGTATTCATTTTCATTTCATGAATTGCTTTAAAACTTAGTAACATGAAAAAGCATTAAAACACCATCTTAGCATTATTTTTAGTTCCTACTCATTTCCCTGCTGTGCTGTTATTCAGTTTAAATCAGCGGAATGTTGTGAGACACATGGCTCGGTTTGCAGCAGACCAGATCTCTCCTCCTGCCTGGGTATACTCGGTGCATTCGTCTGTAGAGAAGTGGCAAATTTGGGCTTAACTCATTTTACATCCTTCAAACAGATGAGTCTTAGAAAGAAATTAATGAAAATAAAGGATGAATTGAACAAAGGTTATGGAGCAAGAAATTTAAGCCAAAACTCAGCTGGCATCTGTTAACTATAAAAGTTAGCAGATAACGCTTGGTCGTCTGGGAGACACTTGCTTATTTTTTTCCCTAGAGTTATATTCTTCAGGATTGCCAGCATGTCCTTCCCACCTCTGGAATTTGCTACAGGGTTCTTATTTCCCTCATAGATGTTTTTCCAAGTGCAAACTTGCCAAGCTCAGGTGTACTTCTTGGAACTAATCTGATCATGGGACCTTAGATTAGGACCAGGTTGCAGTTGATGCATGTGAAGCAAATATGGAAGTGGTATTTTAATCAAGTTTGATATGGGTGAAGATTCATTTATTGCCTAGTCTAGTGCTGTTGCTGCTGTTAGAGGAGTAACCATATTAGAGATGAATATGCTTGCTTTACGGAGCTGTTGCTTTTTTCTCCGGGTGCTACTGAGCAACTTTTGTGTGTAGAAACAGCATGCAGATGTGATTTTTTTTTTTTTTTTTATCATCCAGTTAAGATTTTTTTTTTTTAAAGAGAAATTACTTTCTGGAAAGGTACTGGCAAAACAGGGATGCTTGTGGTTGTGTGGGAGACAGGTGTTGTGGCATTTAAGGTTATTGGTACTGATGGTGGCAGGTTTTATGTTTTTCTAGGAGACTCATTTACTATTAATTTTTTATTTTTTTTTTTTAAAGAAAAGGTACAAAGTCTAGAGCAAATGCAAGCCTCTGAATTATACTGTTTTGTTGATAAGCTTCTAGAGTCGGAATGGTCTTCAAGCAGGTTGGAAGTGTGTCAGCCGAGGCTGAACAAAGGGGCAGTGAGAATCAGGTTAGAAAAAAGGTCACAGCTATATGGTTTGTGTCCTAAGAATTACCTAGAAAAGGGTTGTGGAGCAACAATGGTTGCTTTTTTGTCCCCCTATGAGAATGAGATGCTTAGGAGAGATCACACTCTGTTCCTTGATGTTGCTTGAGGAATGGAGATTGTGGATATTTAATTGTTGATATGGATATGTTGATTGTGGATATTTTAATTGCTGCAATCATGTTTGTTTGGTGTCTGACACTTACAGATGCTAATTTTCTGTGGACTGCAATAAAAAACAAGCGTGTAGAATGTATCAATGTGATGCAGTGTTTGGTAGCTGTGACTTCTGTCCAGTTATCTGCCCCTGCTTGTTTTGTGAAATTTTGTGGAACAGCCTGTGCCCCCTGCAGTTTCAAATCACAGAAGAAAAATGTGACTGTGAATTTACAAAGCTTTTTGTATCTTTTTCTGTACCGCCCTGCTTCAGCATGTATACGTGATGACTTATACCCCTTCTTCTACATAGACTTTCTGAATGGGATATTTTGTTGAAGAATCCATATACATTTTAACTGCTTTTGAATTTCTTTAAAAAAAAAAAAACAACCAAACAAAGCAAACATGAGAGTTATAGGTTTGATTTCCAATTTGGGGAGGCTGAAAAAGGCCTGATGAAGTCTTGCCTGCACTGGGGTTATTTACAGGTATAAAGTTGACGGCTGAAATGCAGTCAGCTGGTGCTTTACACACTCATCACTTGGTTGCTGTGTAGCTTCAGTAACTTGCCCTGTGGAAAATTCTACACAGTTATTCAGCAGCATCGCAGTGAAATAAATATACTGATGTAATTCTCTTTTCACCCATTAATAACTGATAGGGCAAACTGCAAGTGAGTAGAAATGTGATTTCTCTCTGCATACTCGGTCCTCTGGACCACGTGCTTTTCCATTGCTAATAAAGATAATGCCACCTATTTGAAGACATCGTCAGACATATTTAAAACCCAAGATGAATTGAGCGCATTTACTGCGTTAGAAGCAGTTGCTAAATTGTAAGTAACTAAGTCTTGTTGTATAACTGCATTGCACTCAGGGGAACAATTTAGGTTTTGAATTGTATATGTTGGTAAGTGAAAACTATGTAGACATTGATTATTTTTTCCCCTTGACCTAATCACTGTTTGCCCATGGCAATATCTGATACGTTATGTGTTCACCAAGAATTGTCTTGGGACCACAATGGGGCTTTTTTTTAAAGCTTCATTAGTAATCATACTTACATTAGGAATAGAAGGCAATGGAGTAATATACTTGTAGTGTATTACACCAGCTTTTCTATTTATTGTAAAATGTGGGAGGCTGAATTGGTATAGGTAGAGGAGAACAAACTTGAGTCTCTGTGCATTTTGAGCAAGAATTTAATTTTAAGAAAGTGGAAGGCAAATGCCTGTTCAGTAATTTATTTTGTGTTGTGAAAAAAATACTTCCTTTATTTCTCCTTAAATAGTTATAGTCAAAGGATAGAACTTTCCTAGAGAATATTAAAATTATGCTGAGTAAGATAAAATTTAGCAATGTGTTTTTCATTATCTGAATTGAACTAGCTGACAAAAGTAAACAACGTAAACGGTGAGAAGAATGTTTTCTCTTCTTCCTCACCCAGGAAATCTGATGCATCATCCTTTAGACAAAAAAAAAATCCATCAGAATAGCTTAAGAAATGTTTGACTTTTGACATACTGTTGATTCCTTCAAATGGCAGTTTTGTGTCCTGAAGTACTTATTTGTAATGTAAGGGATTATGCAAAAAAGATTGAACTTCCAACTTGTACCTAGAAGTCGCATAACTGGACATGTGGACATTCTGCTTGTTAATAAAGTGTTAGCAATTAAAAAATTCCCACATGAATACATGCATATTTGCACGCATGAGGCCAAGCTGTGGCCTTCTTAAATATAGACTTGCAGTTTGCGTTTCTGAGAACTAATTCTAGCACAAACCATTTTTTCCTCCATTGACTTGTCTACTATATGTCCTTTTTCCAGCTATGCAGCTGACAGCTGAGCAGTTTTTATTTTAGCATAGAGCATTCATTTTGCATCATTTTTTACAGCAATTGGTTATATTATGCTTTGTTTTTCAAAATGTACGTGATGGAGTATTGCCTTATTTCCTTCTGAAGAGCAGTGACTCATGTGAAAGTGGACTTAGCGCATGCTTCCGCTTGTGGCATCTGTTGTTACAGGGAGAGTAGTTCTTGGCTTGTAAGGTCCATTAACTGGAAATGAGCATGTAAAGACATGTTCAGCCTTGGAAGTATGATGGAAGTATGAGATATTGCTTCAGAAAGGTAGTTATCAAGGAATAGGGTGATGCTTTTGATCTTTGTATCCACATGAGGGAGACGGTGTGACAGGTTCATTTGCCTTAATTGGCGGCAAAACTTGGCAACCTGAAGCACAGTGTTGAAGAAATCAGTGAATGCCCTAGCTGTCTGTAACATTACCAGCTCCTTCTGCTATTAACTGATATGTCTATAGAGGTTTTATTTTTCCCTTCTTTGACATAAGAGATTTCTGAATTGTAAATGAAGCCTTCCAATAAATCTTCTGAGCTTTTTCTTTAAAACAAACAAAACCTTAGAGTGGCCATGGCTTTCTCTCTCTAATCTTTGGACTTCTGCCTTGATAGGAAAAAATAATATCTTAGTCTGTAGAAAACACTGACTCTTGACTTAGCGTTTTGTTCCTCAGCCTTTATGGAAATGTTACTGAAGGTGGACAGCAATCATCTGTAAATGAGAGCCTGTTAGAACAGCTGACATCAGTATGGTAGCAATTTCTGTGTTAGTTTCAAATTATCATTATTTGTAGCTTATTTAGGGTCATATGCTAGGAAGCTCTGTAGTGATGAGAGGATTTTCTCAAAAACTAACCACTTCTGTTCAGGGCAGCTTGTAAAGGATCTGGAACCTTGCCTGAAGATGCCTAACATTGCCCCGTAGGTAGCATTAATTAGCAAAAGGTTTGGCAGTGTAACATTTTCCTGTGTTGTGGATGACAGCATTGTGAAGAGTCAGTTAGCAGGCAGACTTCTTGTTGCTTTAGAGAGTTATATGGACTGGTTGCAATCAAATAATTTACAGCAGCCTCCTGTATTTAATTACTTGTGGATACTAATGTCTCCTCTTCAACCTTTTAGGGGTTTAATTACCATTAGCTGATATATTCATAAAGATCACTTTCATGGTTATGCTAAAACTGTGGCAAGTAAACTATTTTGTGATTCGTATTTGCCTTAGTAGTGTTGAAATGTTATAGTTTGTTTTGAAGACATGCCCACATTGTTTATGAAGTGGCTGACTGAGCTGGTGGATGAGCGGAAACAAAACAATCTCTAAATTATTTCTGGCAACTAAGATGAACAATCTGTTTTTGTAAATTTATAAATTTTTGTTTTGACTTCACAAGATGAAGCAACATAACTATTTAAGAAACTTTGTTCTTTCAGAGTTCACTTGGGATCTCTTGCTTTGCTTAAGCAAGAAGCAGATAAACTACCCTTTGTCCTGACCTTTTACACAAATAATCATGCTGCTCCCAAATAAAACTAAAGTTAAACGCTTTCATGTGCTTTTATCAGGTTTGTAGCTGTTAATCTGGAGTACTCAAAAAAATACCAAACACATCTAAATGTGGTAGAGAAGGAATAAAATGTCTTATCTCAAGTACACGGTCTGGAGGTGTTAATTTCTTCAGGTTGTTGCGGCCTCAATCCCATATCTTTAAAAGATTTATTTACTTTGCATTGAGCCTACATCTCAAGAGTTTAATGTTTTGTTATGCTTAGAATATACATTTAGTCACTGTCTCTTACTTCCTCTTAACCAAGAGTTAAAAATAAATGTATAAAACAATGGCAATATGAAACAACTGGCTAGTAGTTATCAAGCTGCAAGCAAGATGGTACTTAACCAGAGGAATTTTGCTTTAGTGTACCTTAGAAGTAGCTGTTGGGAAGCTTAAAAATGAGGGAAAAAATGCATATGTAGTCTTTCCAGGTCAAATTTTCTCTGAGTAATAAAAGCACCTTCCTTTGACAGACAGGAGGCTGGGGAACCTTTGGACTTGCATTACAGGATAAGACCAGCTTCCTTAAAATAAATTTTCAAATCTCAATTTTCTCAAATTCTGCATTTCCCCCCCATTTCCCTTCCCCTCGTGCAGTCTTTCACTAATATTCACTCCTGGTCCAAACTCTTATACAGCATTATAGACTCATATTATAAAACTGAGACTTTTAAAATGAAAATAATGATTTATAATAAAAAGCCTGACAGACTAATTGCAGTATTGCATTAATTATTATCTTACTTCAGCTCAGTTCCTCTCACAGCTAGTTCATATCTGAGTTTTGGTGTTTTTAAATCCCTATTGACACTGTAATTTTGAGAGAGAGAGAGAGAGAGAGAGAGAGAGAATGTACTGGGGAACAATATATATAAGATCAAGAACCAAAAAGTAGTCATATAATTTATTGCTAAAGTGTTGCCTCAGACATGTTAGTAACAGAATGCAGGTAGTTCTGTTTAAGTGGGATGCTTTGTGGATATTCTGGTGAGTGTAACACCTATATATTATATAATACCCCTCAAAATTTTCCATTTTTGGTAACTTTATAGCATGTATAGCATCTTTAATTTGAAAATTTGTGCATTTTGCAGCTAAGTTGATACATCAATGATGCATTTTATGTTCTGATTTTTTTTTCTCCCAGAACGTGTGCAATTCTTCTGATGATTGAGGTATAATGATGCCAGGGCTACCATGTAGCTTCAATACTGCTATTTGAAGCTACTTCAGAAGAATACAATTATTTAGACATGGTGAAGCTGAAGTTTAATGGAAGTCCTATTAGTGGTGAATGTGTAAATATTAATAAGTGAAGAGTTCTTAGCAGGTCCTGAGTTGGGGAAATTGAACATGGTAATTTGCTGAAATGGTATCTGTCTTGAAGATGCGTGGATGCAATGATTTTCAGGTTTTATTTGAACTTTTAAACAGTGCAGAAGGTGTCTGAGTTGGTTTTTAAGCAAGTTGGCATTTGAAAGTTTTGGCCAATACTGTTGTAATGGATGCATGGTAATAAGGGAAGTTCAGATGACAGATGAGTTGGGCTGAATGACTGTTCAGTCACTTAGGCTAGGCTAGTTGCATGGCTTAGCTCTTAGATGTCTCAAATTACCTTGCCTTAGTTCTTGCCCTTGGTTGGCCATTTTCCCCTCTTAACAAAGTTCTGGGAATTAGTTTCTGACAGTTTGCTTTGTTTTCCTTTTTCAGGATGCTTCGTCTGCAGACATTCGGAAAGCATATAGAAAGCTTTCACTGATTTTACACCCAGACAAGAATAAAGATGAAAATGCAGAAACACAGTTTAGGCAAGTAAGTGAAATGTGTGACAATGAACATTTTAGGGAGAACAGAATCAGGATTTTTTTTTTTTTATAATGATGATGTTTTAGTAAAAACAATGATACACCTTTGATATTAGTAAGATGAACATTGAATTATTTTTTCCTGATGTAGCTAAGTTAAAAACAAGTACACTGTTTCAGAATTAACTTGACTCACTAAAAATTAGTATTTTCCTGTATATTAAAATAATTTTAACATAATAGTTAATCTTAGGAGGAAAATGTTTTATACTTTATGTAAGACTTTATAAATAGTCTTATCAAAAGCACTAGGGAAAATTTCTGATCAGTTCGTAATGCAAGTCATATATAGGCATGATTTAATAAAAATATTAAGTATTGAGTGTTTTCCTTCTGAATCTTTACAAAGTGAAACCACAAGACTGTTCTAATTAGTACTACCTTTAAAAATCTACTTCTGATTACTAAGTACAGGCTTCACTTCTAGTAAGAGCTTTAGGATGAAACAAATGATGCCTTTTATTTTTAAAGTGTAACAGATAAGACTTTGACAGGTGTGAGGAGGGGGGGAAAGGCTTTTGTAGGAGTTGCTTGTTTGTGTATCTGCTGACATGTATGTGAATGTTGCTGTTCTTTTGCATACTCAGTTCGCTTCTTAGTGTTTTAGGGAAAAGTAAAAACTAGCAGAGATCATTAGCTGGCAAATGTAACATATGATGCTGCTGTTCAAACTTTATAAAAACTCAATCCTAATTTAAACTCTTCTTTGTGTTTCTTTTCTTCTATTTTTTTTTTTTTTTTTTTTAGTTGGTGGCCATCTATGAGGTCTTAAAGGATGAAGAGAAGAGGCAGAGGTGAGTTAATTTGCACAGCTTCTTAAATAAAGCATTTATGCCATTTGACTTAATTGTAACTCTTTGTTTTTTGTTTGGGTGTAATTTAAGTTTGTAGCTCCTTTGTAGCTGTTTAATTAAAGATTATATGTAGCTTAAAGGAAAAGCTGGTGTGTATTTTTGTGATATACTGGTTATTCTCCTTTAAAACTGGTATATGAAAGTTTTAAAAGCTGGCTGTTATTTGAAGCTATTTTTTAAACATTTAACAATTATATAACTTTTTGTTGAGGTGTGTCAATTATCATTGTTATTTATTTTTGTATGTGCCTCTTTAGAACTTAGTTCCAGCATGGACCTTCTAGGAGTTTTCTTGCAGCTGTAATAACAGCTTTTTTGCATGGAACTGTGATACAGTAGCTCATACAAATGACGTTTTTCAGCCTTGTATGCATTAGAAATGTGACTAAACCAACTTGTTTGTGAGAATATTGTCAACTAATGCAGCACAGTGATTACAAGTAAGAAGCTAAAGCAGCATTAGAATGTTCTAGCTCTGATTGGTTTCGTTGCCAACAGCTTATTTTGTACATAGAGAATGTTGTATTTTTCTTGCACAGTGTGTTTGTATGTTTGATACTGCTTCCATAAGTGGTTAAATATAAACGTAGTGAATTAAATAGTTAACCTTTGAGAATTTTCTGGCAATAATATGTAGTGTTTAAAAATAATTTGTAGGGTAGCAGAGCTGTATGGTCTCATTGCTTTGACAAAACCTTTATTTATCAGTTTTATTACACAGTCTAATGATAAACTCTTTGGTGAGCTTGTAAATGGAGAGTGGTCTATCCTGTATTCTGTAAGGCATTGTTGTAGCATGTCCTTAAAACAGGTCTCAAGTTTGATAGGAGCTGCTCTCCCTGTAGTACTGTTTCTGTTGTGACGTAACTCATGGGTTTCTTGTAATTGTATGGCAAAGGAAGGGGGAGAGCTGTTGCTTTTTGTGATCTTCCTACTTCAGATGTTTGTATTTGGCTATGCATCGTGTGAGGTGATGGACCTAGTGGAAGAGGCTCAAAGTTTACTGTCAAGCCCATGTACTGGGGAGAAACCATGCTGCACCCTTTGTCAGAGTTTATGCGCTCAGTTTTATCCTGAGTCCTGAGACACTTATATGGGTCTCTTGTGACAAGCCTTTCTGCAAGATTGTGGTGATTTTTCTTCCCTTGGCAGTGTGGCAGTTTTTATTTCTGAAATAACTTGGGGACGATGTGATGAGATGAAAATTGGTTCTATTTCTTACAAATTATTTGGTGAGGAATTCTGGTGGCTTAGCTGGGAATCTCTTCAAAACTGGACACCTAAATGATTGGGGCACGGCCTTACACCACCATGAGGAGAGTGAGCTGCAGGCTTCTGCTTCCGCAGAGCGAAGTCACCCATACCTGCCTCTTGCTGCTTCTGTCACAGGGGCCGTGAGCCAGCGTCGGGCTGCTCCGTGTACAGAGGCGAACTGGCAAAGGCAGGAATAAGGTCCTGCACTGTGTGAGTGAGTGATTAACTCACTTGTAAACAGTAAAACTGGGTCCAATTATACCCTCCCTCCATGTCTTGGTGAATGTCAGAGGTGTTAATTGTTTGTGTGCATGTACAGAAACAGCGTTTTCAAAAGGCAGTTCTGTTGGCCAGCTGTACATAATTATTCTTCTAAAACCTTTGCATTTTCATATTCTTCAGTGAATTTCTACTTTGTCTGATGACTGAATCCTTTCTTAAAATACTGTAGTACTTTTGCTGACAAGAATAATAGTGCTTTATAATTAAAATTTTTTTGAGAATTTTTCCTTTTCTGAGAAAGTTATGTAGTTGTTTGCAAAGTATACTAATATTAGTAGTTCTACAGAAGCATTAACATGGTAATATTATATTCTATGTTAAACACTGATACATAATCAAAGCATTCAGTATCCTAACATTAAACACACATGCAGCATTATTTAACGTAGCAGTGTTTAACATTAAATTAAACATACAGGCAGCAGAACATAGTACTTTATCTTTTATATACACACTGCAGAGTGGGTGAAATTCTACAGAAAGGTTTCTTTAAGGTATGTAGAGATAGGTGCATTTCATGAAATCCGCTTTGAAGCATTTATTGGAAAATCAACTTGACAAATATAAATTGCATTAGCCTTTGATTTTTTTAATTTAAGAAAAAGTGGATAGTTTTATGCACTTCTATTAACTGTAATTGGGCAAAAATCTTAGATTTTAATTTCACTGTTTGTTACCATTTTAAGGAGCTTTTTTTACCTACCGGGCCTGTCTTCTGTAACAATGTGGCCTTGATTGCAGGAAGCATTTGCAAAGGAATCAAGATTTACTTGTTTAGATTAAGAAAGGTGTTTATCTTAGCTCTCATTATAATTAAATATCTGTATTCATAGGTATAAATTGTTCTGGATGATATTGCACTGGATGTCTTTGACAGCTTGAGGAAAAAAGGCTTCCAAAATAAAAACACCAATGCAGTCTTCCTGTAGTTCAAAACAGATCTCATTAATTGAGGGTTACAGTATATAAACTATATCAGATCTCTGAAATTATTTGCTATATAAATTCAATATTTCTCTTAAAGGGAGAAGTAAATTAAATTGAAAGAGATTATACTGTAATTAGCTACTACAGTCAATGGACCTTTTTCCTTGTTATGTTTCTACGAAGAGGTCTAAAAACTTTGATGAAACTTGACAGAAGAACGAAATGTTATTAATCTTGCAACTGGTTACTTGGTAGTCTTGCATAGAATCCTAAGTTTTAAAACAAAGATTGAAGTTACAAGTGGGATTTTTTTATTTTATTTTATTTTTTTGTTTCTGTACTGGTGTTTCAGGCTTTTTTAGCTTGCTGACTGCCACATTTCAGAGATGACTGGCAGGCATGCTCATATGTCAAAGATATGCTGCATTCTGTGTACCTATGTCTGAGGAAAAAATACTGCAGATGTATTTTTCTCTTTCAGGTTGTTTTTTTTCTTTCTTAGAATCAGAATTAATATATTCTTCTTATAAAAATAATGCTTTTAGTTAAAAACTAAATTTAGTAGTTAAATGTAGTTCTTGGTGCACATGAATTAACTATCTTTCATAGCTAATATAAGTTTCTGTAAAGAAATTATTTGATAAGAAACTTGCTTTTAATTAAACCACATCTTAAAGTTTTGAAATCGAGATTTAAAAATTATGGGAAGCTTCAGAATTTCAGTCGGATCATTTTCCAGATGAAAACCTAAAAATCATTGTTATCTTTATTTTTCAAATGCAGAGCATAATTACTATTGAAAGCAGTGATTTATCTTTTAACAGTATATATTCTAAAAAGTGGGTTATAATAGAAGCTATCTTCCCTTAAAATGGCCAGTCGTGTGAGCCATAATGCTCATTGATAGTAAAATCAATAGAGCATTGATTCTGAGACTTAATCCTTGGAGACTGTTGTTCAGAACAACGGACATAGCCCAGTAAATAGAGTGCTGTTTAAAGTATTTAATGCAAGAGTTTCTGCTGTCTTAATTTATTTTTTCTTAACAGTTAATATATAATAGGACATGGCTGCCAAAATTAGTTTGCAGTCTTGTTTTACGTATTACTATATTGTTATCATTAGCATGTATGGACCTTATTTAATCACTATGCACATTTTCAGTACATCAATTAACAAGCCTTAGTGTATAAAGAAAAGGAAATGATTAATAAATTTATAGTACTGTTAAAAATATTCTTTCTTGATTCTACATATATTTTTCTGAAGCTTTTGAAGAAAGAGCATCTTTTGTGAAATCTTGCCAACCTGATTTGTTTTAAAATTGGTTTTGTTTCTAAAATATAATAAACTGTGTAGCAAATGCATTATTACTTTTGAAATGCTAAAACTCCTGCTTAATTCTTAAACAAAAAGTTAGATAGACGTTTTAGTTTTGAAATAACATCCCAAGCAGTTTTTCTGAACAGTTTGTGTTAAGGCATCAGTAGCTAATTCATTTTGACTTACTGGGAAAAGAAGAAAAGTTATTACTTCAGATTGTACAATAGTGAATATTAATCTTAGTATGGTCATAATTGTCATGGAAGATAGAGTTTTGTAATGTGAATTTTGCTCCTGGTAGCATTCAGAACAGTGTGGAATCCTGAGGTGTTAAATCTTTTCCATAGAAATAGTGGTGCCAACTTGAACAAATATTTTCTTAGAAATCAGCTTTTCTATATGTGCTGCCTTAAAGTATGCTTTTTTAATTGAAAACCATTGCCTCTTTTTCTGCCTAAAAAAAATTAATTTGCTTGTGCAGATTTTTTTTAGTACATCTCCAAAGTATCAATTTAATAACTATCAAAGTAGCTAGTGCAGTTGTTGCATTTAAATTGATTTACATGTCAAGACTGGCAGTTTAGCAGCTGCGCTATTATTCCTGGATCGGTCAATTTACTTGAGAAAAACCTACTACTGAGTTCTACTGACCTGCATGACAATATAGGCCCTATTTCTATTCCTGTAATTAGGCCTGCGACTAACTCAGAATATTTTTAATTAAAATATTTTGGTCAATGTGTTGCACCAAATTAGGCCTTTCAGTGCAGATTTAATTCTGGAAATGGTGTGATTAGAATACTTAATGAGTGGTGTTCAATTTAAGATTAACAGGTTGTGCATCTTGAATATATAGGGTTTTGAGTTTACTGTAGGGATTTTCGTTCGAAACTTTGCTCTGGAAAGTTGACAAACAGAAAAATGTTCTGCTTCTATGTAGGTTATTTTTAAATTGCTGATATTTTATGTAAGTAAAAGACCCCAAATGTACTAAGATATTTCAAGACATTTGTGTAAAGAAAAACTGGCAAATTGTCATGAAATGGTTTCTATGCAGTCAGTAGTGTTAGTAAAACCAAACAGTTTTAAAATAGATTGATTTTGGAGACAGCTTTTCAAATAGAAAATCAAAACAGTCTAGCTATGGTGAACTTTGTTTTCTAACACATCAAATTCAACCTTTAACTTAACATCCATTTTGTGTTAGATGAATTTAAGTCTGGCAGCATTTTTTACCTAATGAATATTGTGCTGCTAAAGGAGAAAACAAAGCAAAGATACCTCTCCCCTCCCCCAACACTTGTGCTTTTAATTTGTAAAACAAAAGACAGTTTCTAGTGCTTGAGACTTGTTGTTTGCTAACTATTTAGAAGGGTATAAACCACATACTACTATCATGGAGACCTAGCCACTGATTACTAGGCAGGTAGAACATATCTACATTTCTAGAAGCCTGCTATTTCAGAAGGGAATGAACTGAGGGAGGACAGGTATTGCAGGACCAGTCAATTACTACTTTTTTTTTCTTTTTTTTTTTTTTTTACAAAAGACTAGATAGATTTCCCCAGCGTTTGGTTCTGGATTCTGTTTGTTTCCAGATTCAAGCCTAGCAGCTGACAAAACAGGGCATTGCTCTATTTAAACAAACAAACAAAACAGGGCATTGCTCTATTTAAAAAAAAACAAACAACCAAAAAAAATAATTAAAACAAACAAACAAAAACAAAACAAAAAACAAACAAACAAACAAAATAACACACAAACCACCAACCAACCCCCCCCAAGCCCTCTAAATGATCTTTTTGGTGTGTATTATTCAAGCAGTCTCTGGGTTATCATTTGTTTTGTTTTATAATTGGATGGTTTGACTTATTTCATTTTTAGCTCTCCATGAAAGCCTGTTATATTTGCTACTGTAGGTATGATGATATTCTGATCAATGGACTACCAGACTGGCGACAGCCTGTATTCTACTACAGGCGGGTGAGAAAAATGAGCAATGCTGAGCTGGCATTGCTCTTGTTCATTATACTCACAGTGGGTCATTATGCTGTGGTTTGGTCAATCTACCTGGAAAAACAGCTGGTAAGTATTTGTAATAAATCAAACTTGCTTCAATTATTAATATTGAAATTCCTGCAAAAGTTTGCATATTACAGGGATACTTACTAATTCATTTTTTTGAATTAGGATTTTTCATGGTTTAAAATAATCATATTTAAAGTAGTGATAATTATAGAATGAGATATTCAACATGTCAGGTGTGGTACTCTAAAAATGACTTACCTTTTCTAGAATTGATAATAAATAGCAAGAAATAGTTCTTTTTTTTAACCTGGAAGGAAGGACTAAAACCTCTTCTGTCATCATCTATTGATGCGGAATCGTACGCTACTGTAGTCATGTCTATGGTTTTCCTAAATTGCTTAAAAATAATCAGGTTTTATTGATTTAAAAGTCATACTTGCTTTGCCTCAGTTCTTTCCTAAATACTCTTTTGTTTTGAGGGTTTGTTAATAGGTATTGGTAAGCATTATAAACCATATTCTTTGATTATTTTATTTTTTGTCACATAAAAATCTATTGCACTTAGACTAGGAAAAAAAGCTAAGCATAACTTGAAAAATATTCATACATTAGCATCTATTTACTCTTTTTTTTATTTTCCACTGCATTATTGAAGTTGATGAATGAGAAAGGAGGCAAGTTGAATGCTTTCTCCTCTTAGAAAACTTTGATTGCTATGGAGATACACATGAGTGACAGAACTGGACTTCATGTGTGTTTAAAGGCTGGATACCATGGCAACAGTTATTGTCAAGATAGATCATTTTACTTAATCATGTAGGACCCCTAGATACATTTGCATAAATGCTGCTCTACTGTTTACCCTTCACAGAAGAGTCCCACTAACATTTGTAGTTTACATGTTAATGATAACCTGTAACCGAAGTTCTTTCTCCATCGAGGATGAACTGCTTAGCAGAAAAAAGAGGGAGAAGAAGAAAAAAGCAGGCAGCAGGAGTACAGAGGAAGCCAAACTTAATGTTCCAGACAGAAATGAAAGGTGGGCAGGAACTCTCTTGTTTTCTGCATTTTAAAACATTTTATCAGCTACTGATTTAGTTCTATCATTTTCTTCTTGCATCTTTGAACTTTTCTATGAGAAAAATAACTGTATATGTAGTAACAGCCATTGCTGATATAAAGTGTGCCAGTGTACATGTGTTTTCTGGTTTTGATTTGTAAATTAATGTTTATTCACTAGATCAACAACAATTGAGAGGTTAAGATTGTACTAATGTTTTCTGGCTTGTAGAAGGGTATTGTTTCTAACAGTTGATTTTAGAAGATTTTACAACTTTTTCTGTATTTGAAGATTTTTGCCTTTTGATTACAATTAATTTCAGTTTATTTAAGCTTTAGTTTATTACCCTATCAAGCAAGGAGTTTGTGTGGGGCTTTAATTCTTGTCAGGTTTAATTCTTTTTATTTGATTAACTTAAGAAGCAGTGTGTTGGTAAAGGCTTCTAACACTACTGTTTGTTAAGAAACACATAGGGAAATAGTTACTTTAAGGACACTCCAGAAGATACTACCATTTCTTCTATTGATTCATGGAAAGAAATAAAAGGTTTAAATAGTTCACACAGCAGGGGCATGAACTGAATCAATGCAGGATGGAGATCAGAGACCATTCTGCCTGTCGTCTTTCCTGATGACATCAGTGAGTAATGCTCCAGTGAACTGCAAATGACATTAATTTTTATGTATTGTTTTGTTTATGCTACAGTCTTCATATCTGGTTGTCAGCACTTGTGAACACTTGGTTAAGGCCTGAGATTTTTTCAGCTTTGTTTTGTATTTTAAACTGAAGTGATTGTGTGGCTTATGAATTTATTTTCTAGAAAAGCCCTTTTTAAGACATGAAAACACAGTGATAATTAGAAGATAGCTGTTATATATTTTGAATTAAATAATTAAAATGTATTATGTAACTACACATTTTTATAGGTGTTGACAAGGGCTAATCATCTTAAAGGATAATGGGAAAGTTCTGACTTTGAGACTGTGTGGCAGTAATGCAAAACTTAACTTTTCATTTGATTTCAGAGTACTGGACAAACCACAATGGCATGACTTGCTTCCATGCAAGCTGGGAATATGGTTCTGTCTCACTGTAAAAGCTTTACCTCAGCTAATCCAGGTAACAGTAATGATTTTGAGTTATATTACTTTATTTTTCTTGATGGTGT